GCTCCTCGCCCCGCTGCTGCCGGTCGTGGCGTCAGGGTCTCCGGAGGGCTGGCTTGGTACTGGCCCTCGGCTCCAGCAGCCCTTTCCTCCTTCGCCTCTGTCTGCTCCGGCGGCAGCGCCGTGGCGAAGCTTTCAGCTTTGAACCCGGTTTTCCTCGCTTTCAAGCTCAGGGAAAAGAAAGCAAAAAAGAAAGTTTTGCTCTTCACGTGCTCTCGCAGTTCCGTGGGCAAGAGCGTGGCCGTGTTGTCACGGGGCGTCTCACTGATCCATCTGGCTTCCTAGTGATGTGACATTCACTGATCTTAAGGGAGTTTTGACCAGGAAGAAGGGTTTCTGGAACTGCTTCGCAATTTCCGTGGAGCGAACAGTGTATATGAATGGAATGTGTATGTGTATGTGTGTATATATATCAGTAATGAAACATGCAGAAATATCTGTGCGTTTCTGCTTCGTTACCATGGGGTTGTGAGCATTTAAAGTCACACGCTGCTGGCAGGCCTGCTGCTGGTTTCATGGCTTTGCCGGGGGCTTGGTTTTATGCACATCTGTGTGGTTGGAACCTGCTCTGCTTATTCCAGAGCGGTGGTTCCAACGGAGGTTGCTGTAAACCTTTCATATGGATAGAAAATTAGCTGTGGATGTGACACTGTGTCATGTCAAACCACATTTTTCAAAGGTATAACTTTCCTGAAGTATTTTCTGTCAGCTTCCTGAAGAATCGCAGTGCTAAGCTGGTTATAAAGTGGAGCAAATGTTAGTGTTTGCCTGAGTAAATTAAAACAACCATTGTACGTGGGCTCTTTTTACCATTAAGTATTGCCTGCGTATGTACTCTGAGAGGCCGACTGAAGAATATAATTATTACACTCCAGTTGGTCTTTTCATCTCTTGCCCTGTCATCTTAGCTCACTTAAGCTTTTCATTTTCTTCTGTCTTGACCTTATCCTTTTGCTTTCCTTATTACATTATCCACTTACTCACTTTATTCACCTTCTCCCTTTACATATGAGCACCCAAGATAGTTCCTAGTGGGGGCAGTGAAGCAAGTCCCATGGATCTGAAGAACTGTAGAGCTGAGGTGATTTTCCTCTCATTCTTCACACCTGTGTCTTTTCCTAGCCCCTGTGTGTTGGGGTTTTTTTTCTCTTTTGACTTACCATGAGTTCCCCTGTGCCAAAGAAACTAGCTGTTTGGTTTTTGTGTGGTTTTTGTTTTTTTTTTAATTTATCTCATCCAGAAGATTTCCCTGTGTGAAAGGACCAGGGAATACTTTATGTGCTCCATTGGTCTGAAGTAATTCTGTACTGATAGTAGTTAGGTCTCATAAAGTAACTTTTAAAGTTTGGCTCCAAGAGCAGTGTATTTAAATGCTGCTTGTTTTCCATGCCAGCTTCTCCCATGGAGCTCTTGAGGAGCACAGTGATCAAGGAATACACTGAATGTAGTACCATAGCAGTTGCAGTAAGGTAGTCCAAAACCTATCTCACACTGGAGTGAGCAGGTTCTACTAAGAGGAAAGAAATCTCAGTGATGTAACTTGATCTGCCGGTGCTCAAAAATATGTTTTGTATCTCTGCCCTGTTGGGTTAGCACTGAACGAATGCAGTCTAGATGCTGGACTGTGCTTGCTGAACTTGCCAAGAGTGTTACAAGTGGGCTCAGCTGTAGTCTTGGGAAGAGAAACTTTGCTGAAATCATCATAAAACTGTTGGGGTAAAATGGGTAGAATGAGACTAGGACATTCTATTTGCACCTGGTAGTATTTGTTACTTGAAAGTCAGCTGTACTTTAGCTGGGTACTTCAGCAAGAGTCATGTTAGCCTGACTCACGTTGCACCTTCTACTTGGCAAGAACAGTCAGAAGATATTAAGTCTTGCTGCGCTTTGTGGACACCAGAGTGCCGATGACCTCTGAAATGTTGTGCACTTCCATATTGTACGAGGACACTCACCCTTGTTTTATTGCAATGAACTTGCCTCAGACAATTTTTTTTGCCACTTATACTGGGAAGGGCGTGTAGACATTTTAAAGTCTTCGATGCTGCTGAGAGATGCCTATTGCTGTCACAGCAAAATGTAATGTCTTGGATAACGTATTCCCTATTTTTGATGGAAGCTGCTGCAATGCGTGCACCTTGAAGCAGAAAAGGACCTTCCTTTTGACAGTTCCCTGTGTTGGGATATATACAAATATAAAGGAGAGTTTAAGCCTTAGATGACCTTAAAATACACAGATATCTGAGCAGGTGTTGGATGGCAGGGCAGCAGGAGGCTCTGTGGTGACAGGAAATCAGTGTATTTAATGATGTAACATGTTTTCTTGGTGTTGGGAGGTGGTTACTCATTAAACAATGGTCACGTTTTCTGTGACCAGACAGAGAAGCAATGGAACTGGAGAATACAAGGAAAGGGTTAGTATTTCTGAGCAAGTAAACAGAGCAATTGAGACATCTGGAAAACAAGGAAAAGTATGCAGCGTAGAGTGGTAAAAAATGACATTGTCTGTCAAACAGTGTAGAACAACTTGTTTCCAAACTGAGCAATTTATCAGGACACTAGAGTGCTTTTGCATAGTAACAGTTGTTAGGGAAAACTTGCTTTTGAAACTTTAAACAACTAAAAATAGTGTCAGAAGATGGACTTCAAGCTGTAGTTGCAGTGTTCTAAATAAAACACAGTTTTCATTATGAAATGCAAAATATTGTGCAAAAGACCTCTTAGGTGACTGTAGTGTTATTAGATTAGCTCCTGGTAGGACATGCATCTCTGTTAGTGATACAGGATACATTTATATTTCATTCAGCTTTATAGAAGAGTATAACTTGTGTTTTCTGTTTCAGGAAAGAAGGATTGTCCAAATGTGGAAGATGTAAACAGGCCTTTTACTGTGATGTGGAATGTCAGGTATGGTAATGCAATTTGTGAGGGTGCAGGGGGAAGGAGGATGGGGGTTGCTGAACTCCTTTTTTTGTTTGTTGATAGTGTCTAATTGTAGCTCTGTTTGATAGTAGTCCAGTCAGTTTAGGCATCCCACAGATGCTGACCATGAGGTTGTACACTGGACAATTACAGGATTTGAACATGGTCTGCATGACTCTTTCAAGATCAGTAGCTCCAGGGCTTGGTGCCACTGAGACTTTGATTAGAGCTGCCTGTCAGCCCACTAATTATGTCTTTATTACTTCTTTCTTTAAGCGCAAAACGTATAATTTAACATTAGCTCAGTAAACTGGTAAGAGAGTGTGTCTAATGGAGAAATCAAGTCACTGAATAGCTATCTTAAGGGGATTTTGTTGTTTGGTTTTGGTTTTTTTCTGAATAATTACAAATACTCTGATTGGCCATAGCAGACAGTAGTCATAACCATTTGAAACCAGCTGTGCTTTCTCCCAAACTCACTCATTCTAGCAACTTTCATTCCTTTGTATACTTTGTCTTTTAAAAGGCCCTAAAAATAAAATATAAGCATGCACTGAAGTAGAGCTATATGAAGACATCCAAAACATTTGCATGCAGTTTTAATTCCATTTTTACTTTAAGCCAGAATAAGCATCTTTCGAAAGAATTTATTTTTTTTATCCTTTGTGGGCTGTCAACTTTATATAGAAATATTACGCAGTTTACATGTGAAAACTCAACTAGATTCCTAGTTAAATATTGTAAGGTACGTAAGATCTGTGGCTCTGGGCACAGAGTATGGAATGGTGCTCATGAAGGATTTGAGTCACCAAAGGTCTGGCATGCATTACGTGTTAGCTATAAATAATCCCAACCTTCTCATATATGGTGGCATGCGGTTGAGTCCATGCGTGCACAGTATTTGTTGTCACCTTTATCTGAGCTGAGATACTGTGGTTTGTGCTGTTTGGTTCCCAAGCACTGTGGACACGGCTGCTGCTTTTATTGCGAGGATGTATCTTACGCTTCCATCACACAGGTTGCAAAATGAGCCGCGCCTCCACTCTAGTTTTCCTTCTGTTACCTCCCCAGGTTCCTGGTTTCTCACAGTGTCTTAGTGAATTGTGGGTGAATAAAATGGCCTTTTAATTTTGAAGCACTGCATAAATAAAAGAGAAATTAAAATAAATAATTTTTTTTTACAAAATTTGCCATAGTTCATGGAATATTGGAAGACTGACAACCAGCAGTTGCTGCGAGGAAAGGGAATACTTATGGTATGAGCGTCTTTAAGGCCCTTGAGAGAAATCTGGATGAGTTTTAAAGAGAGTGTAGAGAAATTCCATGATTAATTTTTGAGAAATGCCTATTTGTAAGAAATGCTTCCATGTTATATTATTTCTTAGGAAGCTCTTAAGTAGGTGAGAAAAGGAAATATTTGGACGAAGCAATTTGTTTAGTGATTTTTATCTGAGATTGAGAGTTTCTTCTTTTGCCATATGAAGTTCACAGTGGTTTTTGAAGCAAGTAACTGTCACAACTGTCACAGCAAGATTACAGGCTGAGGGAGTTGGAGCTGTTCAGCCTGGAGAAGAGAAGCTCCAGGGTGACGTCACAGCAGCCTTCCAGTACCTGAAGGAGGCCTACGAAAAAGATGAGGAGGGACTTTTTTCAAGGGCTTTTGTAGTGAGAGGACAATGGATAATGTATCAAAACTGGAAGAGAGGACATTTAGGTTAGACACGAGGAGGAAATACTTTAGTGCGAGGGTGGTGAGACACTGGAACAGGTTGTCCAGTGAAGTTGTGGATGCACCATCCATGGAAGTGTTCAAGGCCAGGTTGAATGGGGCTTTGGGCGACCTGATCTAGTGGGAGGTGTCCCTGCCCATGCAGGTGGTTGGAACTACATACTGGTGGTTGGTCCTGACTTCCAGCCTTGATGAATGTTATGCTTTTATATGTAGCAACAAGAGGGGTTTTTCTTTTTGCCCTAATTAAAGTCTTGTGTGTGCATTGCATTCTTAATTTTATGAAAATAATTATTTTGTCAGTAAGAATACCCTTTTTCTACTGGTTTAATTCCAGGAATAAAAAAATAAACTGTTCAAACTGAGTATCCTTATAACTGCAGGAGATAATGCTCAGCAAAAGCCTATGTGTCTGATAAATTAATTCATTGAAATATTTTCTACCTGTTGGTGTGTAGTATGATGCCTTGGAGGTAAAGGCATTTAAAGATGTTGCAATGTCTAGACAATGGTATGACAAGTATAGGTTACTAGCACTTCACTCTTACTGGTGATAAGCATATGGCTTTTGACTTGCTAGTTGATTTAACATTGTCTTTCATGTTTTGGGCCCTTCTGAGTCATTCTGAAATTCATGAATGTTGCTGAGATTGAATTATTTGACATTCTTTCAAAGTTACCTTCAAGCATAATATTCTCTAGAAACTGATCTCCACTGACTGTACGTGCTGCACAGACAATGTGCACTGCATCTTCATCGCTGTCTTGTTCAAAGGTACTTTTCAGCAGTTCAGCAATTCTTTGTCAAAGCCAAAAAGGACATCTGTGCCTTTATACTGAACTTGTAACACTGGGATGTACGGCAGATGTGTCCCTTTTGCCTCCATGGATGTGAAACTTCTTCATGCAATGCTGATAAAAGGACAGGGCTGTACTTGAGAATTTTTATGGCATTGTTCATTTGATTTTTAAATTTTCAAGTTAATTTTCTCTGTAAATCCACATTTTCTTTGCTCAGTTAAGCTAAAAATTACCACTACCCAACAAGGACATAGTATGATTTCATATATTGGTTTGTATCTTATTACTGTAACAGAGTTCAATATAATTCAATTTAACAACTATTTATCACACAGACTATACTTTATTCGGTAGAAAACCAGTTTCTTTTGAGCTTACTCTTGTCTTACTTAAAGCCCTACTATACCACAATGCATAGGAATTCTTTCTAGTGGTGGGGAGATACGTATCAGAAGAAGGAGATAAGAGAAATGTGCAAAAACATGCAGCAGGAAACAGTTTTTTCCATGTCTTTTCCGTAATTGCGGATATTTTAACAGCGAACATCTTCATGTCTCTAGTATATTTCTTTTGAATGAGATTTTTTTCTCTTTCAGAATCACATTGTTATCAAAAGTAAAATTAGTGACACTGCCTGTGTTTGTTGCTCTGTTGAGCCTCATGGTATCCTTGTTTTGAGGCCCTTTCAATCCTTTTCAAGCATTTCATGAATGAAGCCTCAGAGCAACCTTTGTGGCATTTCTGTTTTTGAAAATGAGGTGCAAATACACACAGATGTGTTGGTATGCTGCAGTGTAATTCCTTTTCTCTACTCCCAGGAAAGGTGGTGTCACACTTCAGTGGCACATTGGAAGACAAAAGTCTTGCAGTGGTATAGTGGCTGGTTTCCTTAGGCCTCTCTATGCACACACATACACATGCACTCTGTGCTTGGCACAATTTCGTTAGTGTTACTGTGTCTTTTGTTTTGGTCTATTATTTTGCTTTTAAGATAGGTAACCTTAAATTTGACCAGTATTGAGCTGCATGTTTGCATAGGCATAGACTGAATCTCAGATGTGGACATGTGAGAGTGGTAGCAGTCTTCACTGCCACTCCTTTTTGCCTTGAATGTTCTGTGGGTTGGTTGGATGCAGCTGAGGATGTAGCCTGAGTTTGCTGCATCTTGCCTTTCCCAGCCCCTAATCCAGTTCTCCTTTTAAAAGGGTTTGTGATTTCCAGCTGATTCATACTGTTCTGCTCTCCACTGTTGCGTCCTCGAAGCACAGGCCTGTTATTAGGGTAGTGGCTTCCATACCCCATCTGCAGTTGTTTGGATCTTGACTTCTTAAATTATAATAATTTTAGTTGAACAGCAGGAGGCCTGTGCTCATTTCTTCTTCCCAGAAATTAGCTGCTAAAGCACTCTTAAGAGAAATGTAGGAAGGTTGTGTGGTTGCAATTGTGGCACTGGTGAACTAGAACCAGCTATGGGAGCTCCTCTTTCTGTTATTGCACATAGCTACTACTTGTCCCAGACAGAGTGGAGATCAGCTAGCCAAAGTGCAGAAGCAGATGTTTTTGTCATGACTTTTTAAAATATATTTCAGACAAAGTATTTTCAAGTTTTTCTTAACACATTATGTTAAAGAGTGCTATAGTTGGTATTTCTGGAGTAAGGGAAACGTTTTTAACCAGCTAGTAAGCCTCAAAATGTAGTTGTTGACTGAAATTAGCATCAAGCAGATGTGTTTTAAATGAGGTCTTGTAGAAATTATCCACTCTTCTTTGCTGAGCTGTAGGTAAAAGAAGATTAAATTATTGCTGTAGTGATTCTGCGCAAGAGGAATCTGACACTACAACACCCTGCTTCAGACTGGCTTGAGGAAGTATCTGTCCCCCTATGCAAAAACTTCCTCCATATAGTTTTCTTTGATAAATGTCTGTGTGAACCTTTTGTACATTAACCCACAGAAATCAAACACCTTCTATAGCCCATCACTTGGTTGATGATGATGGGGAAGGATGGCTGTGAAGATGTATGGCACCTTTGCTGCTTGGTGAAGAACTGTGTCAGAGAACTTTACCGGATATCAGACGCCAGAAATTGCCTCACTGAAATGTGATTAGGAGCTGGATAGCTGGATACCATTTGAGCATAATCAGACATTAAGCATTGGAAGAAATGAGCTTAACTGCTACACTGGCCCGTCCAGGATTTCTTTCTGGTGTTTGTGTTTCTTTTTGATTATGTGAAATGCAACAGGAAGGAGGTATGAGGACATTTCTTTGGACTTGAGTCTTACTTTTTGAGTATTAAATTTTTTTGTTTGGGTTCATTGTGTTTTTTTTTCTTGTGTGTGTGTGGTTTTGGTTTTTTTTAGTTTGTTGTTTTTTGTGTTGTGTTTTTTGTTGTTGTTGTTTTTGTTTGGGTTTGTGTTTTTTTTTTTTCTATTGAACTATGTGTCGGTGTTCTGGGAATTAATCCAGTAGTCCTGGATGTTGGAATAATTTTGAAGAATTTGGTGGAGAAGATTGTTTCCATGCTTTGATGTGAAAAGCATAAGCTTTCCCTTCCAAAAATGTTGTCAGTCACTCCCAAATGAAGGGAAAAATACTGTGGATGTAATGAAAATAGGAAGAAAATACTGTTAATGCAGCATTAGGCATTCAGCTAGAACAATACTACCTGTTATAATTCAAACTACTTAAAAAAAAAATATGCAAAATACACTCCTGCTGTGACGGCAGGGAAAGCTGCTGTCACAGTGTTTCCATCCCAGGAATTACTCCATCCTCAATACTCTTTCTTCTTGTGGGTTTCAGGCTTTTATCTCATTTTGCACAATTCAGCTGTATTTTGTCCCTTTAGCCCCCCCTATTAGTTCATATAACTCAGTATGGTTCTGCCTGGGGTAAGATTTTAATTAACAATGGGCAAAGAATAAAGGGACCAAACAGATTTTTAAAAACACTGCTTTGAGAGAGACACATGATTTTGTGTTTTGAATTTTTTTGTTTTATCAGTTACTCACTCCTGTTTATTTAACAGGTGTGTATGTTCTTGGGCACTATGGAACTTCAAGTTCTGTGCCTTTGCTTCTTGTGGCTTGCTGGTGGATGTTGGGGGTGTGCAAGGAGGAGTAAGAAATGAGGTCTCCCTCTGTCTCTCTGTTTAGCCTTTAGCCTGTGGACTCCTAAGCAAGGGCTATTGGGAATTTTCCAGAAAAAGGTCCTTGGGCATACATAGGAAACAGGCTTCTCAGGGGAAGCATTTTGTGGCGTGACAGCTGTAAGACGGTTGAGAGCGTAATTTCACATGACATGGTTACAGTGTAATATACTATTTTGATTCTCCTGGTCTGTATAGCTGTGTCCTCTTAGAATGTTCATGCTGGAGCTAATTTCAGTCAGCCTGTACATAGGGGTTTTTTGGAAATACCATACTGAGATATCAAGGACAATGCAGCTGACTTTGTGAGGGGTTGAATATCCTTGTGGTGCTTCAAATCCTACATGAACCTTGGGTGGGTGTTCACCTTTCTTTTCCTAATAAAATAAAAGCCTAATGCTGTCCATGCCCAGGGCAACGAAAACAGCCATTTTCAATGGAAGAACTGTTTGGTTTTCTAATTCACTCAGAAATTAGTAATCTCAGCTTCTGTTTTGATCTGCAAAACCAGTAAATAAGTGGACTGGCCAAGGCAGGAGACTCTGGGGGTCCTGCTTCGGCTGGCAACTGGTCTGAAAATAAAACTTGATGCTGCCTATACAGGCAGAACCCTCTAGGTTTGTTCTAATACACTTATATATATGTGTTCGGGATGAGACAGAAAAGTAGCTGGACATTGCTTGAATGTAGAAATAAGAGTATTTTCATGTTTGAATAAAAAAATAAAATTAAATTTTATGCAATCTGTGGACAGCCCATGCCAGGTTCTGTGTGCCAGTGCAGAGTCTTAATCTGTGATTCTGTACTTAGCTTTGAAAGTTTTTCTTGCTTTGGAGGGAATGTACAGTGTCAAAATCCAGTGGCTTGTGCCATCACTCAAAGTGGTATTGTATGTTGAGCTAGGAATTTTCTATATATTCTTCACTAAAAGGTGTTTGTCTTTATTAGTGTGTTTTCTTTGCCTAGCTGTACCCTTATTCTGCAACATTTAAGGAAAAAATCTGATAATTCAATTCAGGAGGTCTGATTTTGACCTTACATGTACTGATTCTTACAGTGATTGTGAATCCATTGACTTCAGACACATTACTCCTGGTTACACCAGGGTCATCTCATAATGAGAGGCCAAGGTATTAAATGGAAATAAACCCAATAAAGCCATCAAACTCAGACCTACTCTGTCCTCACATGCTTGATCTGAACAATAAGAACCGGTGATTTACAAATCATGTTGTCTGTTTGCTTCTTTGTCATTTACTTCTTTTTTTTTTTTCCATTGAATAAATGAAGATGTTCTGACCTTAACTCATCCCTTGTGAATTTGTTTGAAAAAAGCAGGATAGCTGTACCCTTTAAATGTGACTCAAGGTTTTGTTCAGATTTAGTGAGGGTCATCTTATTTTTTTTAAAGGAAACACATTTCACTTGACCTCTAGGATCTGGCAGGACTTGCTGCATCCTCTTTTTCATTGCTTTATCTTTGTGGCTTTTTTTTATATATATTTTTTCTACATTTTCAGAAGGAAGACTGGCCAATGCACAAGCTAGAATGTTCCGCTATGTGCGCTTTTGGGCAGAACTGGAATCCCTCAGAGACTGTGAGGCTAACGGCGAGGATCCTTGCCAAACAGGTGAGCAGGAGGCTGCATTTGGGAGGTATGTTCCTGCTCTGGGTGCCAGGGAAGACAGGAAAATGAAAATGGACCGGCAGTAACTGTCCTTGCAAAGCACATGGACATGAGCTTCCTGTGTACAGATGGGTGTAATACAGAGTATGAGCAGCTGAACGAACTGACCTTCAGAACACTGCAGCAGCATCAGGGCCACCACAGTCCAGCTGGAGACCTTTGGGAGAAGATAGCAAAATGCTAGTGAGGTTTTAAGCTGTGTATCTCTAACATATGGTCAAGGTATGTTGAACAGAGTCTGAAAAAGTTTACTGATAGTTTCACAATGCACTTAATGTTTCAGCCTTCATTCTAGAATATTGGGGGTTTTGATTACGTGTGTGGACTGGCACCAAGCCCATGCTGGTGAAGAGAAAGATGAATGAGACTTGGTAGACATGGTTAAATTCTGATAAATGCTCCCAATTTATCTCTCTACAGGAACTGATAGCTTTATAAAGCATTTGCTGTGTACTATTTTTCAGCTATATCTGCATAACATTGCGTAGTACATAACTCCCAGTACCTTTGTGAGTCAAAAACACCTCCTAGGTATTCAGGTATAAATGTTTATGACTACTGGAGTTAACTGGTGATAAAGAGATTGAGAGAAATCTCAGGCCCTTGTCTTTGGAGAAAAAGAATATTATTAGTAAGGAAATAAGATTGCAATGTGAACCTGCATTTCAATGTTCCCTAGCTGTATGGATACGGAGGATAACACAAGTCATTACAGGGAGGAAACAGGACTCATGAGTTTCAAGGTTATTTTGTTGTATATCTTTATATAGCTGTAAACTCTCTCCACAAAAAACAAATCCTCTTTGAAGCATATTTTCGTGATTGAGGTCTGTTTAAGTGACAAGGGCAACCTGGATACTGTATGTAGTGAGGATTTTGGTGGCCTGCTGGGAAGGTAGCTGCATTCTTGCTGTGTGTGTAGATGTGTGTGTGAATAGATGTGTGTGACTTAATTAAAGTGGGGTTTGGTGGTGATTCACAAACAAAATCAAATGTTTAATGACAAAAAGTCATTGAAATAAATTTGTGCTTTTATCGCTTACAGGGAGGGGGGAGAACCCTGCATGTCATCTAGAAGCTAAATATGCAAACCATAGTCCCTGAACCTCAGCTGCTGGGCCACCTGCAAAGCCATATTTAATGGCCAAGATTACAAAGAAGTGGCCTTAGGCCAACAATGGAGCATTGCTTTTGAACTCTGTCAACAGTCAGTTTATTCACTTTCCTCAAAGCAAAGCCTGTCTCCTGCCTGCTTGCTATTGTTAGCGACTTTCTGGGTGTCTAGAACAAAGCAAATGACATATTAAAAATACTGTTCAGTTTTTGTTTATAAATTTGAGAGGAGTTAATCTTTGACTGCCTAATTTTGTGTAAGGGGAGTATTTCCATGGTTTTACTAAGGGCAGTCAGTTTAACTCATTGCTGTTCATCAACTTCTGTAAATTCCATACAGTATGGATTTGAGTTTGTTTTAGAGGTAGGAGTTCTCACCTTATGAATTAGTAGACAAAACTGCCAACTTAAAACATTACAATACATTTTTGTTGTTTTTTTCCCATTATTGCTAGAAAACTCACCCGGAAAGAACACAGTCAGAGAAGCTGCTTGCTGTAAAAGAGTTTGAATCACGTAAGTAAAAAAAGCTTGCAGGTAAACAGAGGCAGTAATCTATGTTCATTATTTACTTTATCCCCTGGCCTCTCTGCACCAAACCCTTTTTTAGCATCCCACTCCTGTTGGAGGAAGGGAGTAAACAGAGAATTGTGGTTCTTCGATTTTTGAATGTGCAGTTTTCTTTCTTGTTTTTTGTGGATTTTTTTGTCGCTTGTGGGGGTTGTGAAACAAGGGTGAAAACCTAGACAGAACCAGTTAAGTAGCATACATCTGTCTCATGGCTTTTTTGGTACTCTAGTGTCTTTTGAGAATTTTAATGTTGTAAAACTAAAATAGCTGGTATTTGTTACCAGGAGGCATAAAATCAGAGACAGCACAGTTGCTTGATGGTGACAATGACTAAGGGGCTAATTGCAGAACCCTCTGGACTCTGCTTTAGTATCTGTCACTGCCAGTCAAATCTGACATGTTATATATGATTGTGTTGAAATTCTGTGTCCTAAATGCTCCAAAGTAATCCAAGGAAGGAGATGAGGCAATGCCTTGCTTTTAAGTGAAATGCTATTGTTGATGTCTGGTGAGGGAGAGTTAGAAATTGAGCAACTAAGGGACTAGTAATGATCCTGGCACTGATTTCACTGGCCTATTGTTTTTCTTTCATGATGCTGGGTTTAATATACAAGGAGGCAATAGGTTTGTGTATTTACATTTCTTACTCTGTTGGTTTCCAAAATGCTATATAAAATGTTGAATAAATGCAGTAATTTCCAGGACTGGAGGTAGCAGCATAACTAAGCATAGTGAGATTATAGACTTGTTTGCTTCCTGGACAAAAGTTCCTATCACAGCTGTTGCAACAACTGGGGAGGCAGGGATAATTTTTACAGGTAGGTTAGTAGGTTTGGGAGGTTGAGGAGAATGGGTAACTGCTGAAGTAATTCCTGTATATTCTTCTGCATTGCAGCTTGTCTTCAGTATTTTATTTGGGAGCTGAAAGGCTGAAATTATTTTCTGTTGAAATGTCCCTCTTGTCCTCTAAGAGCCCTTGTTGTTTCTGGTTTTTTTAGTAAGGTCCCCGTGTTCCTTCTGCCTTGTTGACTCTCCTCCTCTCTTAGCACACTTGCTATGTTCAGCAGTTGCCTTACTCTTTGCAACACCCTGCACAGGAGACAGAAAGGCATCTGACTGTCAATTGGAAGCTCAAAATTTCTTATTTCTAGTTTGTCCTAATTCTTATCAAGTTGTCCCACTTCATTTTCCTCAGTATTTTTTGTGGCTGTCCTGTCATTCACATCTGCTCTTAGAAATCTTTCCCTCTTCTTTCACTGTTTTGCAGCCTTTTCTCTTCCTTTATGTTTTTCTCTCTGCTATTATTTTGAGTTGGAGAGGGAAAATTGCTAACTTGATGGCTGTCTTAGAGCGGGGCTGAGCTGGTGATACTGCCACTGTGAGAGAGGATTAAGAAAAAAAAAACTTTCCAACACTGCTTTTGAGGAGACAGAAGGTGCCATGAGTAGTAATCACCTAGCATGAATCAGGCAGAAAAAGGTTAAGTGGTCATAGCTTTGGCTAGAATCTATTGTGGTCCTGAGGCTAAATCTCTCAACAAACCTACAAGGGAATACACTTGGCAGGTCTGCCAGGACATTTCCACTGATGTATCCTCAGATATCTGCAACTTAAAGATACCTCTGTTCATGATGACCTTCCAGTCCATGGAGACATGGGCATTCTCAGGTAGATCCTAAAGTCATGTTAAACAACTGAGGATGGCTACCCACAGCTTATAGGCTTCTAGAGGGCCAGGACTGGCTGGTCTGTTTGCTAGGGTTGACAAATGCATTTTAAACTCTGCAACCCTTCTCCCAAGAAAGGGAAATCTGTGTCCGGTTACCTGCTAATGTAAAGATGTTAGAGTATGCTTTTAAATCCTGCATGTTCTTGTAGTGCATGTGTGGCTTTGGCAGAAGTAGCATTATGTTTATGGAAGAGCAGACACTTCTTGCAGTACTTTAAAAAGTAGCTGTTCCTTGATGGGTTTAAGTCCAGGCCTGTTCTAACCTGAATCTAGCTGCAGTTCATGGGGCATGTTCCTGTTACTGAAATGGAATGTATTCTTTGTCCACAGACCTTGACAAACTAGACAATGAAAAGAGAGAGCTGATTCAGAACGACATTGCTGCTCTTCATCACTTTTACTCAAAGCACTTGGAATACCCTGACAATGCTGCCCTTGTAGTTCTCTTTGCACAAGTAAGTTGGCTAGAACACAGCCTGCTTAGGTGGTTAGTGCTGTAGGATTTTAGCTTTTGTGAAAGGGGAAAAATGTTAATGGCAATGGAAATGGTAGCTCTTTGCTTGTCTTGAGGAGAGCTGAGTGTGCTTGAAGGACAAGATCCACCTCCTTGACAAGAAGTGACTGGACATGATTTCAGTAGAGACTCTTGTCTGCAAACTTGCTATGAGGCGTTTCTCAAACACTGAAGAAAAGGGGAAACAGCCTGTGTTAGACCCAGTCAAAGTTAGGCTTCTTGTGGGCCAAGCATAATGCAACTGTGGAAAGCTGCTAGTCTGAGACCCTGCAGAGTCAAAACCTTCATTCAGGCTTCAGACTTGTGGAAATCCTTGCTGGTCAGGTCATCATTGTGTTTGACCTTCACAAGGAGTAAACATCAGAGGAGTAGAAAGAGCAGTCTGGAACTTTTATCTTGTATGAGGCTTTTAAATGCAGTCAGGTAGTTTGGTCATCTGGAGAGATGAAGGAAAGGCAGGATGTCTTGTTAGATAACTTCTGAAATGTGTCGTCTCTTTTTTTATATGCACCTAAATTGAATGTATTTTAGTGGATGGAATGACACACCAGGGGAGCACTGAAAGATCTGTTTTCTTCTTTTTCCTTCTGTACTTCAAAATCAGCTAGTTTTAAACTTAAATGTCCCAGTAAAAAGTTTTTGGTTGTTTTTTTTTTTGAGAAGGAGGCGTATGTTGGCTGCTGTGATGAAAGCTGAGATGGCAATACCCTGGTTGGTAGAGCTGGGCATCTACCAAGAAGGAAGCAGTGTTACTATTGCCTTAATACCAAGGTACTGCTATTCTGTAGGGGAATTCTTCTTTAGCGTGTTTAGCATCTGCTTATCAGCCATTATTTTGTTTCTAATTAAATTCTAATTTCCCTTCAATTAAAAGGTTTGGGTTTTTTTTCTGTTTTGAAGACTTAACAATTTATATTTGTCAGAGGGGTACTTTAAGGACATCAGTGCATCCAGTTTCTTGTGATGTTTCTGAATATTTTTGTTAAGAATGTAGTCAGAATCCCTGAAGATTACATTATTTTGGCTATAATTACTTTCACTTAGTGTCATGTCCTGGACCAGCTCCATCAGGTCATTGTATTTTAACTGACTTCTGCAAACTGCTGACTCCCAGATTTGATATTTCATCTCTTCTTTTCTGTAGATGTCTAAGGTCACCCTTAGATAACATGTTAACCTCTTCCTGATCATCACGCAACTAGTTGCCACTGTAGACATTGCAATTTTTTGAGCTAAAGTCTCCAAAGGTTATCTGGATGTCCCTCAGAAGTATTTTACAGCTCACAACCTTCTTAAGTTTTAGCTTGGCATAAATCATTTTTGAAGAAGCAGAGGCATGTCTGTAGTTGATATATACAAACACGTTTCCTAATAATCAGTCAACTTGACCTAAAACAAATAGTATGGTTACACTGCTGCTCCTTTGTTTTGCTTCAATGCTTTCTCTGGTCTCATGTTGTCTACTTTGCTTCTCTATTTGGCATTCTTTCTCTCTGTGGCTCAGGGCAGCCATCTGGGATTTGGATAGCTCTGACTCCTTGCTCTCTGCTTTTTGTGAGATTGGCCTGATGTTGTTTCTTTACTCAACAGAGGTGTAGTTGGCCCTTTTAAGTGGACCAAAAATTTTACTCATCCTTACGTTTCATTGCTCCCTTCCCCAGCTCTTGCTATCATTTTACCCTCTTTTGTCCCTATAGAGCATAGCTCTCAAGACTGGTGCTCTTGCTCCTCAGTCTCACCTTGTCGTACTCTTAAGTTTCTCTCTTTTCTCAAGTTCCAGCATCTTATCCTTTCCTTGAAGACATAATTGTGTAATTTTGTGTCTCCTTTTGCACATTCTTTTTTCCACCATTGGGAACAACCCTGAGCTCTAGTTTTTCTCTCTTTACTCCTTCCACATTCCCTTTTTTAGTCATGCGTTCATCTGGTGAAACTAGTGGTATCTCAGCCCTTCCAGTTCTTCCTCTTGTGTAATTTCTAGTATGATGCATTCAAGAAGTGGGTTGTCTCTTGCTTAATGGAGGGTAGTTGATGATAACTCATTACATGTTTTTAAATATTTCCCTGTGATTAAGAACCATCAAGCTGTTCTTAGTGTCAGCCTTTGTAGGCTTATGTTCTTACTTGTTATTGATATAAGTCTTTCCCTCCTATTGTTTTTGTATTCAGCAATCATGTTTTGGTTTTGATTCAGGTGTGCTCATATATTGGCTAGGGCAGTAGAATGCTCACCTTGAAAGACAGCTTTTGGATGCTACTTTCCTAAAAGCATCAGGATAAAGATCAAGCAAAGATAACAAAGGCACCAGTAAGTCAGAGAAACAGGACACTTTCCTTAATTGTGAACTCATCCTGAGCAGTGGATACCTGAGGAGTGGCTTTGGGAGCTATTTGCATATTTTTAAAATCCAATCTGAGCTGCATTCCAGCTTGTGGGGTTTATCATTGTTTGTAGTGTTTGTTGTCAACTTTTGCCCTTCCAGAACAAATACTTACTTTTTACTTGCTTGACTGATCCTGTGCCCGTTGTAGCTTCAGCTGGGCTTGGCCACATGACAGTAGTTGTTTTAGTGCTTTTCTGATGCTTCTGTGAACATCTTGATGATGGCAGGGAGATGGTGGTGAATGGGGTGAGGGTTTTCTTTATGTTGGCATGTATGTGACTCGCAGCTAAAGTGGAATAAAGTACTTGATTGAGATGCATTTTTATTATTTAAAGTCACACAAACCACATGAAACAGAGCTGAAACTCCTGTAAGAGTCTCTTGTTTAGTGAGAATAAAGAGGGAGAAGGTTTTAAAACCTGCTTGAATCTATTATATAAAAAAGATTAGTGAACAAGGTCTTTTGATCCTTTGTCTGCTTAAATTAGGAATACACTTCCTCTCACTCTGTCCTTTTTCTGTCCCCTCCTATTCTATGTCTTCATTAGATTCAAGTCTTTCTCACTGCCTTTGTTGTTCTTGATAGGTGCTTTAGCTGTAGCTGATATGTGCAGCCCTCAATAATAGATGTCATTGTGGCAGGTCTCTAGCATATGCTCCATCAAAGCTCTGTACTGCTCCAACCTGACAGAGTTTGCTGCCGTTCACCCCTATATTGCTGCTTGCATGTGTAGTTCTGCTTTGGCCTATGTTATGGACAAGTGAAGTCCCTTTGCCCCCTCAGAATCAGGCTTTGTTTTGTGTCGTCAATGGTCTTGCTTTGTCTGACACTTTCTAGCACTTTTCTCAAGCCCTGTTTCTCCTGGTTGGCATTCCAAGGAGCAGTGCCCTAGATGTTGTGTCCAGTGCAGGTATAAGTATTGGACTGCCAATTTCTCAGTGTCCTGAACATTCTTTTAGATAGGGCCTTTATCCTTCACTTCCCTTTTTGAGATGTCATGTAGCTCCCTGTGAGCACTGGTGAAGTGAAAAGAGAATTGTAAGTGAATTGTCGCCGTTGACTTTGAAGTATGAGAACGTGATGTGTGAGTGTGGAGTACTTAGCTGACCAGAAGTTGAGCTAGTCTCTTTCTCTTGTTCCTTAGGTTAATTGTAATGGCTTCACAATTGAAGATGAAGAACTCTCTCATTTGGGATCAGCCATATTTCCCGAGTAGGTTCATTTTAATATTTTTAAAAATAATTTATTATCGTAGAATGTCTTGGATTGGAGAAGACCTCTAAAGGTCATCTAGTCCAACCCCCCTACAATAAGCAGAGACAAATTACATAAAAGCAAAGGATTTTACACATACATGGAAGAACATCTGTAGGGAA